ATACATTACAGTATCCATATGAATACAGAATCAGTTTATGTGGTGAGTCCAGGGGACTCTGATGCTGTTTTTTTTTCTTTCAGCTGGTTTGGAATATTTTATTAAAGGGATTGAGAATAAAGACTAAGAAGACTAAAAAAGATTAAGTGTAATATTGTAGACTCAATAATTTTGTTACATTTGATTGGAAATTTAAATTAGTTAATTATTTTACACCAAACAACACCTTCCCACCACCCTTAGAGACCTGGGACATCTGTATTTATGTCTGCAGAATAACCATACTATTTATTACATTTTCAGTGTTATATCTTAATATTTTTGTAGTCTTTTAGATTTATTTCACAATAATTAAATAAAAGAATACTTTTTTTTTTGACATTTGCTACCTAAGCCATTTGTTAATTCACAAAAGTCTAGATTTATGTGTTACCTATTAAGTAAGTAAGTAATTAAAGTTTTATTTATATAGCACCTTTCACAGAAATAAATTCACAAGGTGCTGTACATTCAGGGAAGGGGGAGGGGGCAGTTAAGAAACACCCATTCAAGAAGACAAACAAGACAAACATGGGGGAACAGGTGAAACTGGTCATGCCGCAAACACAGTTGCGCTACCTTTAACAACAGCTTGAAATACACTATTCCAGGAGTTCATTAAATTATAGGTCTATGTTGTACCTAAAATACATAACACTGTGTTGGAATAAAATATTTTAATAAAAATATATTGTGCGGTTAACATATTTTTCATTATACATTGAATATATATTGTATCAAATCAGCAGCTGTGTGACAAACACCAGCTAGTACCGTATTATTCTGCATGTACATCTTGTGTTTGGAACAGGCAACTGTTAAATTTGGAGCATAATTACATGAACAGCTGACCTGAATGATTGCTTTACTGCAAGTACTGAAGAAACTTCTGTGTGAAACGTTATTCCATGTTCTTCTGTCTGTGGATTTAGTAATGTGCTGTAGTTTGTAGTTAAACATCAGTTCCTGATGAGTTCATCTTTCTTTTCTCGGGCTCTGCACACGTATACATCTGTTTCATGTTGATCCACAATCTGCACGTCACCAATCCCGTAATAACCTGTATGTCAGTGGTCAATACTACAAAACAAAAGTAATTTATTTATTAATTTTTTTTCAGGATGAAGACGTGTGTAAACTGGAGGCGGAGCTTCAGGTTTTAGCTGACAACCCAACATGAAATGTTTGAAGAAGCGGACAGGAAATGGTCTGTTCCTTCGTTGGTGGAAGTGTTTGTCACTGTGAAATTCTTCTGAGTTTGTTGGTGAATTTTGGTTTGTTTTTTTAATGTAACTCTGCTGATGGAACTACAGTGAACATGGCTCTCAAACGAACATTTCTCTATTTTAGTTCTCATGAGTGAATCGTTACTTAATTTAACTTAATTCTAATAACATCTGAATCTAAAATAAACAATTTAACAGAAAGCATGCTTTCCCCTGCCCCCACCCCTAATCATTTAGTTTATAACACAGTCATAGTTTCTGTGTTTTTCAGTTGAAGGTGGATGCTGCTCCTCAGTCCAGTCCTATGAGGCGTGTAGAGTGTGGTTGCTCCACAGGTTGTGTAGTTGTAATCTCACAGTTTCATCAGAATGAGGCCTGGAGCTCCTTTTGAAGTCTGATGGAGCTAACTTCTGGCTCACCAATGGGAACTCTGTCTCAACTCAAGAAATAAAACCAGTTGGCATATTGAAGGAATATCTTTTAATATTTTACAATACATTCTCACCTATGTGAATACTTATTTTGCTCTGTGTGAATAAAGAAATAAATCCTTTTTTGTCTTTAAACTTTAAACGGCTCTTTATCCACCGAATGTGGAGTGACAGTGTTTTTGATTGTGTGCGTGTGTGGGTATCTGTGTATACTGTATTGTCATTCACTGGAAGGAATTTAATGAATGTTTTAGAACGTAATCGTTGGATTGACATCTGCATCTGAACAACTTRTGGAGTTAACCAAATTCAAGATAGCCGTCAACAGGAAGCTGATCAAACAAAAATGGTTTGAACACATTTCATTTTTCAGACACAGCTAAAAGTTTAAGTAGCTGAGTCTTTTTCAATATATATGTTGATTGCAACATATTACAGCATGTTGGCATTAACTGTTGGAGTCAACCCTGATGGTTTAAAAAATATAAATAAACCAATGGACAGATTTTAATGAAACACTCAAAGTAATCACTAGCTGTACATTTACAACTCATCAAGATGGCCACCACAAAAATGGCTATAAAATAAATAAAATTTAACGATAGTTGATCACAATACTCTATTACATAATTGTTTGACCAAAACAGTTATGCCATTATTTGTCAACATAATGTGATCTAAAACTGTCATGAAAGATGGCAGGTGATATGCATTCCTTGAAGAATGTAGGCCTTCATCTGTAATCAGCTCCAGACTGCTCAGAGACTGTGCGGACCAGCTCTGTCAGGTGGTCCTACACATTTTCAACCTGAGCCTGAGTCTGGAGAAGATTCCTGATCTGTGGAAGACTTCCTGCATGGTTCCAYTGCCAAAGATCACACATCCCAGGGAGCCCAACCACTACAGACCGGTGGCTCTGACTTCTCATCTGATGAAGACCATGGAGAGGCTCATCCTGCACCATCTTCGTCCTGTGGTGAGCCCAGCACTGGACCCCCAGCGGTTCGCCTACCAGCTCGGCATCGGGGTGGAGGACGCTGTCATCTACCTGCAGCACCGATGTCTCTCACCTAGAGCAAGCAGAAAACACTGAGTCATAAAGAAAAAAATTGTATAGGTCTTCTGGACGGGTTCTTCTCTAAAGAAACGTTTCGTCTCTCCTCCAAGAGACTTCTTCAGTCTGAGAGTTTCAGGCAAAATTCAGGCTTTTAAGRKCTGCCTCCATGTGACTGATACTCACATCACATGGCTATRYRTGACACCTAATWAARACRTATTGTTAACAGGGGGTGGAGTGATACTGGCAATAGCCGCYCTGTAGGAGGGGGACAACTGAAAACGGAGGCCTCCACCTCTGTTTAATGATGGACAGTCTTTCTTCACAAAAATGGCTTCTTTRACTCCTCTCTCAAACCAACGTTCCTCTCTATCAAGAATGAGAACATCCTCATCTCTGAAAGAGTGGCCGCTGGCCTGTAAATGAGTGAAAACTGCAAATTTCTGGCCATTAGATGTAGCTCGTCTGTGTTGGGACATTATTTTGAACAGTGGCTGCTTTGTTTCCCAGATGTATAACTGGTTGCAGTCCTCCTGGCACTTAACAGCATATACAACATTGCTCTGTTTGTGCCGAGGCACCCACTGTGAGTCATGTTCTTTGACTTCTCCAGTGCTTTCAACACTATCCAGCCTGCTCTGCTGAGAGGGAAGATGAAGGGAGCTGGAGTGGACAGGTAGCTGAAAGCATGGACCATCGACTACCTCACCAACAGACCACATGTGAGGCTCCGCGACTGTGTGTCTGATGTGGTAGTCTGCAGCACAGGGGCACCACAGGGCACGGTCCTCTCACCCTTTCTGTTCAGTCTATACTCATCAGACTTCAGGTACAACTCGGACCACTGCCACCTTCAGAAGTTCTTGGATGATACGGCCATCATTGGATGCGTATCAGACGGGAATGATGAGGAATACAGGGGGGTCATCAGTGACTTTGTTGGCTGATGTGAGACCAACGCTCTCCAAATCAATGCCAGCAAGATGAAGGAGATGGTCATGGACCTCAGGAGGAAGACACGCCCGACAGCACCGGTGAATATCCAGGGAAAAGACATTGAGATAGTGGACTCTTACAAGTTCCTGGGTGTTCACCTCAACAACAAGCTGGACTAGACTGTGAACACAGACGTCCTGTATAAGAAGGGCCAGAGTCGACTCCACCTACTGAGGAGGCTGAGGTCCTTCGGTGTCTGCAGGACTCTGTTAAAGACATTCTACGACACGGTGGTAGCATCTGCCCTTTTCTATGTAGTGGTTTGCTGGGGGGCTGGATGTACCGAAAGGGACAGGAACAGGATGGACAAACTGATACGGAGGTCAAGCTCTGTGCTGGGATGTCCTCTGGAGCCTGTGGTAGTGGTGGGTGAGAGGAGGATGTTGGCAAAGCTGACAGCCATCATGGACAACCCCCACCACCCTCTGCATGAAACCGTGTGGGCGCTGAGCAGCTCCTTCAGTCAGAGACTTAAACATCCTCGGTGCAGGATGGACCGCTTCCGTAGATCATTCATTCCAACTGCAGTTAGACTGTATAATCACTAATATGCACCTTCATATACATTCATTTATTTACTGTACTATACGGTATATATGTATATACATGTATATGCATATGTGTTTATATATGTGTATATGTGCATTGGTATATGTACATTGTTATATATCACGTGTATAGTGTGTTTTTTTTATTTATCTTTCTTTATTCTATCTCACCCTCTCCTGTGTTGAGCTGCAGTAATGTGCAAATTTGCCCACTGTGGGATCAATAAAGTCTTATCTTATCTTAAACAGACATCTTTGTTCCTCTGACTCAGACAAAATACATTCATCACACACATTGCCAGAACACAACTACAAATGGTAAATGAACTGTACTTATAGTGCCTTATAGCCAACCAGGTTATGTAAACTTTTTTACAACATCTGTATCTGTGCTCTCATTTAGCCAATACGCACAGCACTGTATATCTTTAAAAAGCTTATCTGAAGAAATACCAAAGCCAGATGATCTCTCAATACAGCTCTTATACTGTAGTCTCATCAGTTTTCAAATTTTCACCAATATAGATAGATAGATAGATAGATAGATAGATAGATAGATAGATAGATAGATAGATAGATAGTACCCTTCTTGGGTCAGCTCCTCTAATAGTCAATAGGCAGGAAGAAGCCATGCCTTCACTGCCTTGGTTTATCAACTAGTGAACTTTAGTGTCCTGTGSCATTCGAATCAGTGCACTAAAATGATTTCATCCTGCATGACAATCAATCTGCACATGAATCCTGCTCTTTCCAGTCTATTGACCAATAGGTGAGGAGATGACTCAAGTAGCGCAGCCCACCTTTTTTGCATAATAAAGCAGAAATGGATATGGTACAATAAAAATAGGAGAAAGAGAAATGTAAAAGCAACATGGAAATAAGACTTGTGAGGAAAAAAACAATTTAAAAATACTAAATAAAAAATGAAGGGACATCTACAAGTAAAAAGAGAACCATAAAATATAAATATTTCAAACATTATGTGATAAACTATTGTAAATTTGTTGGAACTCAGCAGGAAAACTTTCTTTTAAGGTCAATTAAATTATAAAAAATGAAGTAAAGTTCTCATTTTTTAAATTAATTTGTGCATTTTAAGTGTATTTAATAATTTAGTGGGACATCTGTATGTTGCTGCTTTTAATTTTAATTATGCCAGTTTCTGTCTTCCTTGGAGTTGCCAGAAAAAAAAATACAAAAATTTGTTTGGTGATCCTCGTTTTCAGTGCACATTTTTCACCAAATACAGCACACACAACTTTATCTTACAACATCCTCACTCTCAGTATCTGGGTCAAAATACTATCATTTTATTTTAAAGGGACTGTACAACAGTTTACTGC